AAATATGATGTGGGGTATTTGTTACTAAATATTTGTGTTACATTTTAGATTGAGTACGTTTCTACGAGCTTTGGATGCAGACTTGAGGGAGTGTTAGGCAAATAGCGTGGCCAATAAAACAAAGAAAGAAGAGAAAGAAGCGATTACAGAGGAGCTAGAAAAGATCCTTTGGGAGAAGAACCTGCTCGGTTGCCAGAGTGCTAAGTCATTGTTGTACACTGTTTATTTTTCAAACGGGAAGCTGTTTGTTATCCGTGTGAAGGAGCACCGCGATTAAAAATACAATAATTTTGGAGGATGGGTCGAATGTCGTAATTTTTGATGAAACTGCATCTAAAACTTGTCTTTGATCAGAATGAACACAGATTACCAGGTATAAAGGGTCGTTTGCGTGATGTTTTAACGATGTTTTGATAGACTGTTAGCTTCATTAATTATTATTAATGAGTTTTTGAACTTGTTAAAAAGATCAAATCAGAAAAAAATAATACATCTCGTTAGAATGGAATAAAATTGTCCTACTGGTTAAAATAATCCAATCAGTTAAAGTGGTCTAAATAGATAACAATGGTAATATCGAGAAAACGTACAAACTAAGTAAAATGTTCGAACTCGTACTAATGGTCTAACTGGAGAAAATAACCAAACATGGTAAAATGATCCAACCGGTTAAAATGATGAGACTAGGAAAATGGTCTACTGGGTTAGAATGGTCTAAAGAGATAAAATGGTGCGACTGTCTAAAATGACCCAACTGGTTAAATTGGTCATAGCAGGTAAAAATGGCCAAATATATTGAAAGGTTCAACCACTTCAAGTGGTCTCACTAGAGAGAATGGTCCGACCGATTGGTTCAACCTACTGGATAAAATGATCCAACTATTTAAAATGCTTAAACTGCATACCATGACCCAACTGTTAGAAACGGTCTTAATAAAGAAAAATGGTAAAAATAAATCATCCAGCTAGTGAAAGTGAGTAGACTGCAACAATAATCTGACTGGTTAAAATGGTCACACTGGTTTGAATGGCTCAGCTGGTTAAAATGGTCTTACTAGCTAGTTAAAGTCTTATTACAAACATGGTCTAAAGAGTACTACCGCAGTAGCACTAAAGAAAATGGTTCAACGGTAGAGATAATCTAACTAGAGAAAACGGTCAACTGGTTTAAATGGTCCAATTAGCAAAAATGATATATCTTTCCAGATAAAATGGCCCAAGTGCTTAAAATGGTCTTATCAGATAACATGGTCGGACTACATAAAAAGGTTCAGCTGGTACAAAATATCTTACTAGAAAGAAATGGTCCACTGCGGTTTAATTGCTCAAAAGGTAAAAACAGTTAAAACGTTCTACCGAGGGGAAATGGTCCAACCGCTTAATATGATGCTAGGAAATAACGTGGTCCAACTTATAAAGTTGGTCAATTCGGTTGACAGGGTCCAACTGGATAAAATGGTCCAGCTGCTTATAATGGTCTAAGGAGAACAAATGATACAATGTGTTAAAAATTATGGCACTGGTAAAAACCGTCAAACTAGAAAATGCTCTAACCGGTTAAAAATGATGTATGGAGATAAAATGATCCAACCTCTTGAATTGGTTCAATTAATTTAATTTATTCCATTTTCACTGCATTCATTTGCAGTGGGGAAGGACTAGAAGAGAACATACGAACCATTCGAGCTAGTCCACCTTCCCACCCATCCCAACCCAGGGGAGGACATCCATCACACAGTAATCCTGTGTGTGGGAAATTAACGTCTCCTACCCCAACCCTGCAGGAGACGGGACCTCCATTTATTCGTCCCTATCCGAGAAGACTAGAATATCTAACCATTTCTTGGTGTTATAGAAAAGTAGCAAATTCTTCTCAATTATTTTAAGACCTTGAGTGTTGGTCCGGCCNTTTGCGAGACAATGTTTTGAATAACAGTTGAAATCAATATAATCCAAATTGAAGTCTCCCAGAATAATCAATTCATTGTTTTGGAGATGGGCATTTTCAATATTTTTACCCAAGCTCTCATTATAATCTTTGTTGGCTGAAGGTGGACGGTAAACACCAGATATCAAAATCGGTCTCTTTGATTTATGAGGACAAATTTGAAGCCAGAGAGTTTCAAGATCATCCAGTTCCAAATCTCTTCGACGTGAAGCCATAACTTTCTCATTTACATACGCAATTATGCCGCCACCTTTCTTCCCGATTCGATCTTTTCTGTGTAATGTGTAGCCGGGTATCATGTAATAGCTGTCTGGAATTTTACTTGATCCGAACGTCTCAGTGAGAATTAAGACGTCGAGTTTAGCAGCACTGTTGTTGTTCGAGGTGAGCATTAGCGATAGTTCTTCCAATTTGGTGTCAGTCAGTCGTTGGATGTTCCAGTGGCAGACTGATAAACCTCTGAAGCCTACAGGAGGTTGAAGGTTATTAGGTCCTGGATTGACGGCAATATCGCCAGATAGAAGAATACACAGACAAAATTGGCCAAGCTTGACGAACCGCAACAACGCGTGGAGCTTCAAATTCAATTCGCAAGGTGTGCATTTCGAAGGCTTTGACTTACAGTTGAACGTAGGTGGAGCAGATATTTCCTTCCCAATGAAGAGTCTGACTGTAGAGCGATCAAATTCAGGTGTAATTGAAGTAAATTGGCTAAGTAAAACGCTGAAAATAGTCAATAGAAGCACGACTGCAAAAACATGTCTGCACGTAATGACTAATTTATGCACCAAGTGTTATGAGCAGCAGTCAATAAATTGAGGTTTGCTTCAAAAGTCGTAAAATAGTAATTACAGTAGGTATCAAGCAATGTTTTCGGAAAATCAGAGATAAGTGATACGGAGGGAAAGATGTGTAATTAGTTTTTATCATATCATATTTGCTTCCCGATTGTCAAACGCTTTGTTTCACTGCACAATAATGCGTGCGTTATTCCACGTGCAGCTCGTGCTATTTTTATGCGTTCGTCCAAAATTTATATGAATAGCTGTCACATTTCTTCAACTCCTACTTTTAAAGTTAATATTTCAACAACGTTACAAAATTAAATGGTGTATTCTAATAATGGGGATTAAATTTGCCTCGGCTGATTGGAAGTGATCCGCGGGAAAGTTAAATTTCCTCACCATCATTCGTGTCCAGCATCGTAACTTGAATTCTGGAAGCTTGTGTTTTTTTTCGCAGTCTCAATAAGCAAGCGTCATACCTACTCTCTCTTTTTTCGTCACCATCCTGTTCGCTTTCACTCCGCACAATATTGCAGTTGGGTTTAGCTAATATTACAAAATGATAATGACAGTAAAAAAAAAAGGAAAACCTGAGTATTTAGCTTCAAGTGCGGCAGAACGTGGCTTGTTTTATAGAGTCTGTAAAAAAATACCTTTCCTCTTTTTTCCTGGAGGAACTCTTGAAGGGTCTTTATGTGGGTCCACCCACAAGGTTACGATGCCGTTCTTTGCCAAGGATAACGCCTCGCCAAGCTGGATCTCTGATAATATGGAGTACTTTTTCTTTCCGTCGGTGTAGTACCCAATTTGGAATGTTGTGTCGGACGCGGGAGTGATTTCCTTCGTGCAGTTCTCGAGGAGGTATTGCTTTAAATTGAACACATTTTCACATAAAAGCACGCCCTTTACTGAATAGGTGTCGTACCTACTCTTGTTTGTTTCTTTTAACACACGCAGACAGATATTCATAGTTCCACCTTCCATTGCGCTGAAATCTCGTGAACTTGAGGATGAAACAGTGATCTACCACAACCCATAATGCCTTTAGGTATTGTCGCGTAAGCTTTAACACTTTTATTGGACAACCTTTCTCGAAACAGCTGTATGTGTACTGCGGTTACATGAAATGTATTAAAGCAATCCTCCCAGTTATGAACCCTACTTATGTAGCAGTGGAAATAAGGCCTGAAAAAAATTCAGGCCCGTAAGGGATTTGAACTCATGACGGCTGTGATACCGGTACAGTGCTCTCTCTACTAATTGAGCTAACATGCCAACTGGGAGCTGGTCATTATGTTGTTTGGTATTTAACCCGTCGAAGGGGTCAATCGGTGAACTTGAATATATGAAAATCATATATGTGTACTGCGGTTTCATGAAGTGTGTGAAAGTGATCCTTGCAATTATGAACCCTACTTATGTAGAAGTGGAAATAGGGCCTGAAAAATATTGAGGTCCGTCAGGGATTTGAACCCATGACCTCTGCGATACCGATGCAGTGCTCTGGTCATTCTTTTGGTTCGTATTAAACCCGTCGAGGTGATAAATCAATGAGTTTGAACATGTGAAAATCATATATGTGTACTGTGGTTTCATGAAATGTATCAAAGCGGTCTTCGCAGTTAGGAAACCTACCAAGCAATTACTGTACCAATTGTTTTACTAGGTAAAATGGTCCAACTGGGTTAAATGATCCAATTGGTTAAAATGCTCTAGCTTGGTAAAATGGTTGAACCTCGATACTTGGTACTAACATCATAGATATCTGAATACTCTATATTAATTCCATTAAATAAAAACCTAGAAAAAGTTACAAAGTCATGTAGAATGGATGAGCAACCAAGGAAAAAGTTGCACCTGATTCGCATGGTATCCTTCGGAAGCCTCTCCACATTCCAGTCTTTTAGCTCCTCAGTATATCACTTTTTTCAAGGATTTTAATCCTTAATAGAAACCCTTTTCTGCAAGTGCATGTGTAAGAGCCCCAACTATACTTGCACAAAGTTTTCACATGGTGTGAATTGTTTTACAGGATTGATAATTATCTGTACTGTTCGTACACTTTCCATAAAGCCTTCTGTAAACTTGTATTTGTGAGATTCTTTGCCATACTGCAAAAGTAGTCATAGCGATACACTCTTATCCTACACTCGTTTACTTCTGAAAGTATAATAGAACGAATGTCAGTTTATAAAAAAAAATCGTCTGGAAAATGATGACAGTATGAAAAAAAAAACAGTGCCATCGAAAAAAAATCTTCAGGACATCTCTGCTCTTTCGCTGATGTGTATTCATCCGCATAACTTAACAATTCCTTACCCGAATGACAGTCGTGGCCTTCAAATCCGGCAGTACACAAACACTGATAATCTCTCTCTGTAAAACCAGCTTGACATGTTGCGTTATTTTTGCAAGGATTTCTCGAGCAGGCATTCTTAAACAGAAAGGAAGATCAAGAGATTGAAATTTCCTTACAGAAACAGAAATAGAGGACTGCCGATGATTTATGTACTGAGTTTAAAACCTTTTTAGACAGGAAATGCTAACACATGGGACAAAATAAAGATGTGTGGGATTAAGGTTAGTCCCACGTATAGATAGCATCTATTAGATTGAAATCATAGAGAGTAAAATATCAGCAATCGGTGCTTGAATGCTTAACGCATTCCTTTCCATCGTGCCGAAGGCTGAGACAATACAATTTCATAACACGGACAAGAATTATGTAAGAATTCCTCTTACTATTCACGCAGTATCTTGTTTCTTTCTTTTTAAATATGGCCAGTCATTGGGATCTCATCTTAGCAGCGTTGTCTATAGGGAGCATTTCTATTCTATTGAGGGGAACATGTTGCTTAACTTCTTGTTCCATGCAAGATATAGACGCGCATAGACAAAAGCAGGAGCCCATTACTTGGAGTGTTCAACTTCCATACTGAGTCACGGCATTTTTACAGAACGATTTAATTTATTTTTAGACTTTCTTTTCCCGGGAAATTGGCTACTCTAGCTCACTTGCTTTCGTTGTAACAACAAGTCAAGTTCGAAATTAACTACACGCTAATCGTGACTGGTCGAAGGGCTTCCTTGGAGAATCCCATTTCATGGGAAATTCAAACTGAAAATAGACTTGTCGGTGAAAACACCGCGAAATAAACAAAGGGCAGTTGAACGCTCCAAGTAATGGGCTCCTGATAAAAGATAGTACGGAAGGAAGCCAAGTGGATAAGTTGAGCCACGGCTAAAGTAGAGCCCCGTTACGTTTCTACGATTGCCCAGAAGGGTCACAGTCCAGTTTTAATTTTTGACAGTCCAGTTTTATTTTTTGACAGTCCAGTTTTATTTTTTGACAGTCCAGTTTTATTTTTTGACAGTCCAGTTTTATTTTTTGACTGTCCAGTTTTATTTTTTTTTTTTGACAGTCCAGTTTTATTTTTTTTGACAGTCCAGTTTTATTTTTT